GATGTAGTCGCACACCGTCATGGTGCGCCGCGTAGACTCTGGCAGCGGCACCGCCATGGCGACGGCTGGAGAGCCCACTGCAGGACAATCCGCAAACAGAGTGCGGCGGTCCCGCTGCTTGAGCCCACACTTGGCTACGGATGTATCCCTACACATAGGGGCACGTCCACCAACAGCTCAATGGTCAGAGGGGCGAGAGGAAGAAGGACGAGGGGAGGGGGGGCGAGGAGAAAGAGGGATGAGAGGAGGAGCAAGTTTTTATTATTATTATTATATATACACATATTTCCTTTACAAAAGCGTCTCGGGCCAAAAAGGCCGGGAGCCCAGGAGAGAGAGCCCAGGAGGAGGCGGAGTTGCCGACAGGCTCAGCGATTAGCAACGCGCTCACTCACAGAGACCAGCCGACGATAGGGTGATAGACCGAGCCTGGGAGATCCATCATTTTTGGCACGTGCGCTCGACCCACCCCGAGCGGTACAGTTCATGAAATCAGCTCGCCTGATAATGCTGTCGGCCCAGCCGCGGCTGAGACTCCACCAGAAAATCGACATGGCCACTGCCTATGGATCCACGCTGGCACAGGGGATGGCAGGGCGGGAACACCAGAACTACGGATCCACATGTATTGCAGATCCCCTCGACTCGCGCAAGGAAAAAGGGAAGCAGAGCTACTGGGCATTTCCTTTACAAAAGCGTCTCGGGCCAAAAAGGCCGGGAGCCCAGGAGAGAGAGCCCAGGAGGAGGCGGAGGTGCCGACAGGCTCAGCGATTAGCAACGCGCTCACTCACAGAGACCAGCCGACGATAGGGTGATAGACCGCGCCTGGGAGATCCATCATTTTTGGCACGTGCGCTCGACCCACCCCGAGCGGTACAGTTCATGAAATCAGCTCGCCTGATAATGCTGTCGGCCCAGCCGCGGCTGAGACTCCACCAGAAAATCGACATGGCCAACTTACCAAAGTAGAGTCTGGTCCACAATACTTCTGGCTATGGATCATGAGGGACAGGGCGGGAGGGTTGCAACTTTCAGCTTGCCCGACAGGTTGGTTTCGAAGGTGCATCATGGCGGCATTTGAATTTCGAACTTCGAAAAGGACTTGATTTAGACAATGTAGGTATCTTCCGAGCTTGCTGTAGCGAACCGAAACGACGGCGCCGAACACCAGGTACTGGGGCGGCATGGCGTGCACGGCGGACGGGCTGGGCACGGGGCGGTCCACCCCCGCTACCCACTGTGCCGGCCACCTGACCGGCATCCCGACGAACGGCACGTGCTCGCTGGCGGGGTTGACGAAGCTGACCTTGACCAGGTTGATGCCGTCGGAGTGGCGCCACACGAACCGGAAGCGCGCGGGGCTCTCCACCAGCATTTGCAGGAGCACGCCGCGCCCGTGAGCTGGGCGGTGGTGCTGTGTCGCAGGGGTCGGCCGGCGACCGAACGACCACTGCAGGCGTGCTGGTTGAAGGGGCCGTTGACGCTTGAGAGCGGGCAGCCAGTGCTCGATGCCGCCGTGCCCGCGAGTCTCCACAGCCCCAACTTTCACAGAGATCTCCCCACGGTAATGTGAATCTTCTTGGACAGGTTGGGATTGGCGGTGGTTCCACTCCGCGCCCGCCGAGCGAGGCCGCCAGATCACGACACCATCGGATATGAAGTACCGGTTCGCGAGGATTACGAAAAGCAGTAAGTGGAGCATGACGCTCAACCACTCGAGCCAATTCACGACATAGAGCTGGAGGATACGCAGCAGCAAGAGACGTTTTCCATTTCAGGGCGTGCTTGCCGGGAACCACTTCAACTTTAACTTTCCCTTGGAGGATCTCGTGGGGCACCTGACACCGACAAAGTCTTCCTACTTCTTGGAGGCCTTCAAGAGTTCCCATTCGACGAGTTCGCTTACGATAGGGGGTGCCATACCTGCAGTAGTCCACGATGACCTCTTGGGCTCCCTGGGTCTTGAAGAGATCCTTGAGGGGCGTCCACTTGAAGAGCTTAGAGCTAATGGGGTTCTCCAGAATCCACCTCGCTCCATACCGATGAGCCGCACGGAGAATACGTAGAGTGGCCACAGCGGTGGGGTCCTGGATGTCGTCGGGAGCCTCTGGGGAACTGCGAGCGCTCGTCCAGTTAGTACACGGAGTACCTAGCCAAAGCAACCAAATCTTCCTCGACTTAATCCAGTTCAGGATCTTCCGAAGTACCCGAGGATCAGTAATATCATAGTCCCGAGACGTGCCTACGTCGAAGGGCGGTGCGATGCGCAATCCTTTTTGTTGACAAGCTCCTGAGAAACGAGCGCATCCCGCGAACAGCTCCAAAATGGCCAGCTCGCGCCGCGCAGGGGCAATCGGCTTGGAGAGCGAGCTCCCTCCTCGGCGCTCAGCCGCGCCAGCCCGAGGCGGAGGTCTCGCCCCTCCCTTCGACGTGGCTCTCACTGGAGCCGGCCCACTTGTGGAAAATGTGATCGTAGTGTCTGATGAAGAACAGGAAGCTGGCCGCTCAGCCCGATCATCCATGGCGGCTGTAACGGCTATTGGCGAAGTGGCGGTCTCCGACGAAGGCTCAGCTCGAACTCGGTCTCTATCTGCCAGCTCATGTTGGCCCCGGCCTCGGAGACGTGCCCACAGCGCGCCTCCACCCAGGGCTTCCCCTGCGGCGAGAAGTCCGCGGTCGGCCAACCTCGAGCCCTCGTCCGAGCAGTTCCTCTCGCTCACGATGTGACGGCGGCGCCACCGCAGTCCAGTGACCCCTTGGAGCGCACCAGCTCGACGGCACAGCGCGTTGAGCTCGCGATCCTCGGCGCGCCCGCGCTCGGTTGCCAGGATCTCGGACAGGTTATCCCCGACTGACAGAATCTCAGCATCCCACTTGCGAGAGGACCTCGTATAGCGACGGAGTCCCAGCAGAGCGGCGCGAGCCTCCTTGTTGTGAATGGCGCCCGCACGACACCAGGCCCCCACCACCACGCGTCGACACTGAAGACGGTCAGAGTAGACCGCCGCGAGCTCCGGCAGGGCGTGAGTATCGGCACCCAGCGTAGCCCGCCGCGATGCCACGGCCGACGAGCCCGCACTCCACGTAGAGGTCGTTAACTCCGCTGGCCCCACCTCGCCGAAGCCCAGCTCCTCCTCGAAGGCCGGGGCGAGCGAGGCCGAGTCCGCGGCGATGGAGCTGGGGAAGAGGACGGAGTCCGTGGTGTCGTCCTGCGCGTACTCCTCGATGGTCTTGAATCGCCAGCGCTCCCGCCACCTGATCGTGTCCAGCACCTCCCGCTCTGAAAACCGGCCGACGTGCAGCGCGTAGCCCGCCCCGCTGGAGTCAGAACAAAACACCGTAGTCGCCGTCTTCAGGCGAACGTGATGTCGGGTGATGAGCACAAGGCCCGCCGCCGTCTGCAACTCGCCAATCGCCGCCGGGGTCAGCTCTGCGACCCGATCCGTGTGCTCGGTGAGCCAGCGCCAAACCTCGTGCAAGACAGACATGAAGGGCGGGAACAACATAAAATGATTGACCAGGTGGCCCACTAGGCGTCGTACCTGCCGATCCCAAAAGCGGCGACACCGAATGGCCGAATGAAGAGCGTAGTACAACCGCCACGTGCGCTCCGTCTTGCGCAGGATGAAGGGCTGAGATCCGCCCAACAGCCGAAGCCCCACCTGCACGACGTCCCGCTCGGCGCAGATCTCGTCCCGCCACACGAAACCCCGTCGCTTCAGCTCCTCCAGCAGGTATCGGAAGCACTCTGAAGCGTCCTCGCGGTTCCAGCAGATCAGGAAGGCGTTGTCCACGTACGGCGCGAGGATGGGAAGGCCTGGCTGGAGAACGGGAGGCGGTCGACGATCGCGAAGCACCCGCGAGTCCACCGCCTCCCTATCCTCGATGCCAAGCCGCCTCATCTCCGCACAAACCTGAATGTCGGTCAGCGCGGAGTGGCAGAAGAAGAGTGACCACGTCCAGCCCATCGGAATGACCTTCACGCACGTCCACAGCATCTCGTCGGAGCCGACCGAGTCCCAGCACCGACGATCGTCATCGAAGACCCTCGTGACGCCGAAGTCGCTTGCCCGCACCTTGTGGGCCAGGCAGAAGTAGCCGGCGACCTCCTCAAACTCGAACTGGAAGTAGCCGTCGGTCAAGTCCGCGCCCGAGAAGTGCATGTCCAACGGACGGCCCGCGGCGTCGTGCTCAGCAGCCAAGGTTTCGCCGTCCCTCAACACGAGACCCGCCAAGGCCGATGCCGTCGCTAGCTGACTGACCGGAGGATCGCGGTGCAAAACGTTCGCGGGCCTGCAGTCCAGAACGAGCCTCAAGTGGTGCCCGTCCTTCTTGATCACCGTAAAGGCGCCCACGAAGCAGCGCGCTCGGCGGCGAAAGGGCAGCATGCCCGCGTCGTTCAGCTTATTCACGAGAGCGCTCATGTGACGCGGGTCGCGCAGCACGGGGTCGAGGTAGGGCTTCACCGTTGCCTGGGCTGCGATCCTGTTCTCATCAGTTGGAGTCCTGAAGATCCAACTCCAGGGATCAGCCGCCATCGGCCGAGCGTCAGGCCCGACCACTGCGCCGACTGGCTTGGGGTGAACGCCGCCGTCACGAACGACCCGAACGCGAGAGGCCTCAAACGGCCTGCGGGTGGCGTCGTCCGTGGAAAAGTCGTAGACGTTCAGAGCTCGAAGAACGCTTTTGAGGGCGCCCCTCCTGTCAGGCCCAGAGGGAGGACACCCCAACTCCTGGAGCGACTCCCTCAGCCGAACACCCACAGCACGTTGAAGTCCAGTAGGTGCCGAAGCCGATGTGCACCGCCGAAGACGATGCCCCGCGCGAGCCACCGCCAGCGCGTTCAGAGAGCTGGCAACTTCTGCAAACCTCCGATCACAAGCGGCAGCGTGACGCGGTAAGATGCCCGCATAGGGCGCATCACGCCGATCTCCAACACAAGGAAGGGGAAAGACGTCCCGGCTCACCGAGTCCAGCACGAGCGCGCCGTCGTCGACGTCCAGGCGCAACCCACGGCCCGCCCTGCCACCAGCCGAAGAAGTCGCTGAGGCAAGTAGAGCGTCCAGGTCGCCGGCCGTTCCCTCACAGGGATCATGATGCGGGGTGTCGCCACGGCGAACAACGCCACCCCGGGACCGTAGAGCCATCGTCCGCCCTGCGACCCTTTCGGGTCGCTGTTCTTGTCCTTGTTTTTGTCCTTGTTGTTGCCGTCCTTCTGGCGCTGCGAGTCGGCCTCTGACTCCTCCTTCAACAAACGATCGCTCTTCATGATAATGGCCTGAGTCTTGCGCATCTCGGCGGCCATCTCCTGATCGAACTGCGTCGTGACCACTCCTCCGCTGGCGTCGAAGGCGTGAGCCATGAACGAGTCGAAGCCTTCAAAATCAGGGTTCCGAGGATTGCGGCGCACTGCTCGCTGGATCGTCAGCACCCGGCGCGACGCGAACTCCGCCGCGGCCATGTTAGGCAAGTTCAACTGATCATAACACACCACCATGTGCAGCAGCATCAGCAGGTGGAAATGCTCGATGGCAACCGCCGTGCGCTCTCCCACCGTGCTGCTTCTCACCCAGAAAGTATGGTACGTGCCGAACTCGTGCCCCGACGCCGCCACGCCCTTGGCTAACTCCAAGATCGAACGACTCTTCTGGAAGGGGAAACCGTCGGCCTGCATCGACTGCTTCAGCAACTTGACGGCCTCCCTCAAGGTCGTCGAGCGCGTCTGCGTGTTTGGGTCCAGCTGCAAGGGTAGCAATCTCGAATCTCTGCTCTCGCCGCGCAACTTCTCCTGCATCCAGCGTAACTTGTCTCTCGGAGGGACTCGCTCCGCCGTCGTCCACTCGTCGCCGCGCTTCGCAAGCGCGACCGGGCCCCTCGCCACGGTCGTCGCCTCCGAGCCCAGCAAACTGTCGTCAAACTCCTCCGCGAAGAAGTTACATGACGGGTCCGAGTACATGCACACGGCGCCGTCGGGCGCAGCCGCACCTGCCGCGGCGGCGGGCGCCGCTCCGAGGATCTCCGCGAGAGCCCGACCCTCCGCTCTGATCCTCGCCAGGTCCTGAGCGTCGATCGGGTTGTCGAATCCGTGCACATGCAAGTTGGGAGGGTACGGCGAGTTGCGCTGCAGCGGGATCATCGGCACCACTGCCGCCCGATCTGACAAGTCGACCTGCCGCACCGAGAAGTCGGGAGTAGACCAGATCCACCTCGCACCATCCAATTTGACCAACAGTACTCGGTGATGGTGAGGAATTCCATCATCAGGATAATGAACCAAGATCTGTCTCTCTGGTATGCCCAGACTCATCGCGACAGCTCAGCCCGCAGCTTCCGGCTTTCCGGCGTCTCCACGTCCGCCAGCGCGAGGCCGGCCGAAGGCGAGGGCCGTCGGAAGGAGCGCCGACACTGGCTGCAGGCACACCCAAGCGACAGAGTCAGCAGCACGCCGAAGAGCAGCCCGACCCAGAACAACTGGAAGGCGAGCGTCCACCGATCGCACGGCTCGGGCTCCCCGGCGGGGAGCGGACAAAGGGTAGGTGTCGACGACGATGCTGATAGCGGGCCGACCCGAGCGATGACCTCCTCCAGCTGCCTCAGCCAGTCGGGCGCCGCTCCGCCCGTCTCGCAAGGGACCGCCGCGGGGCGCTGCGGCGACGGGCAGGCAGGGCGCGGCGGAATGACCGGCGCGGCCGGGCACTCCAGGCTGGGGCAGACGGGGCCTCTTTGGCGACCCCACTCGAAGTAGTGACCGAGATGCAGGATCGCGTTAAACACAGGGGGTTACTGCCTGTGCCGCGCGGTCCATGCTCGAGCCAACACCAAAACTACGGATCCACATGTATTGCAGATCCCCTCGACTCGCGCAAGGAATAAGGGAAGCAGAGCTACTTGGCATAAATAGGCAAGGTCGTGCGCTCTTTAAACCAGCACCACATAGGCGCCCCCATCGCGGTGCCACGCGAAGGCCGCGTGAGCATCGCGCATGCTAACTGCCATCAACTCCCGCGAAAGCGAAAACCATCTGCTTGAGCGGGTGCGCCTGCCAGTGGGCAGCAATTTCCTGACGACAACGTACAGCGTCCCACGTTCACAGACGCAAGCCGACACGAGGCCAGCACCATCCCCGACCAATACCACGTCGTGAACGTGCAACTCGTGACCATCCTCCCAGGCGCCATGACCCAACTCCACATTTGGATAGCCTGGCAATTCCTTTCTAGACCCGCAAAGGCCCTCGCGGAGGGATTGCACACCACCGGTCAAATCATTATGGTGCCTCGTCAGCAAGTTCGAGAGGACAGAGTACTCGTACCGCTCTGTGTTCCTGACGCTGTTCTCTGCGGACTGCTTGACGCGAATATTTAAGCGCTCAACAACGAACATGTCGACTACAAACTTGTCTTTCCAAATTTGATCTGGAATATGCATCATGGCGTGGTGTTTCGGACGTAAATACCTCTTGCCGCATGCGGCTGCAAGCCTATCCATGTGTACACGAAGAGCGGCCCTGAGCTCATTGAGAATGGCTGCGAGCCCAGTCTGCGGGGCCCTCTTAGCCTCGAGGACGAGGTCCAAGACAGCACATGCTGCGCTGATAGACTCGTTCCCCCTCTCAAGGCCAGGGATGTCGAGCAGTCTGCATTCGACCAAATGCCGCATGATAACATACAAGGATATGCAATCACCTGCCTTGCACCGAATCTTCGACTCCTCCTCGGAGGACGCGGAAAATGCGTCGTAGACTTGGCTGATCTTGACGCCCATTGATAAGGGGAATGTCAAATCAGCCTTCACCAACTCACCCCACATCTCGAACATAATTCCCAGCTTGCTCTCGCACGCCCTCACGTAAGCCGTGCACTCCCAAGAAAATGCGCCATGTTGTTGATAATGGTGTACCCAGCCTGTGCGGATGATGTCAGAGATGTCGAGGATGCCGCACAAAGCCTCATCTGCTAGAAGGCCCAGTGGGTTTGGGTTGAAGCCGACGCCCTGAATGAGCTCCTTGAAATCCCCAACGCCCATGGCCCCAGCGTCACGTCTCGCTTTCGCCGCCAAAACGACAGCCAGATTTGCAACCATGTCCTCGTGATCACGCAACCGAAATTTAGAGAAAAGTGAACAAGATATATCGTAGCACCCTGGAATGAGATGTGAATCCTTCTTCCAACAATTGCAGCAAAAAGTGCATGGCTTGTGGGAGCTTGCGCCCGTCCAGTCGAACGTCATCCTGTGGCCGTCGAGGTCGGTTAAAACACCTTTCACCGTTGCGAACAGCAGGCGCGTTTGGCCGAGCACATTCAACGCCGCGCCCGCGTCTCTGAAGAACAGGGGGCCAAGCGGGATCTCACGCAGAAGTATTGCGAACAATCTGGACCACTTGCCCTCGACCTTGCCTATGATGTGATCCCGAATCACAGCGAAGGTCATCCAGGTTGCCTCGTGGCTCAAAGCTGATCCCCCGAGCTCTAAAACATTGAAAGAAACAACCATGGTTTTTTCGTTGGTTTTTCTGCTTTTTTTTGTCGCTAACCGCGTACTCGTCTCAGCCGATGACCATGCTCCAAGGTCTGTCAATCGAGCACGGGCGCCTCGAGAAAGCATTCGAGAAACACGTCTGCAACTCGCCCGAAGCAGCCACCATCTCCTGGAGAACGAGCGCGGGCTGGCAAACCCCCCATCGCCATGGTTCGCCAGTTGTCAAACGCAGATCGACGTCGAACCTTGCCCTCTCGAAGAACTCGTGGCTTATAGCGCGAAGCTTCTTATCGCCGACAGGCTCGCAACCGAGTTTCGCGGCAATCCGCGCTAACCCATCCAGCGATATCCCGCCCGTGTGCAGCGCGGACTGCAGTCTCAAACGCTTCTGCGCTGCGTCGTGGGCCATGGAGCGGAAAATGCCGCTGCTACGGATGGGGGAGAGGGGGGGGGGGGGGGCATGCCAATTGGGGGGGTGGGGGGGGGGGGGGGGGCGGGCGGAGGATGTGCCATAGGAGAGGGGGGGACATGCCAATTTGGGGGGAGGACAGAGGATATGCGCACCCATATGATTCAGTCAACCCCACCAGCCCTCTGGACGTAGGCGGCCTAGATCGCTTCCTCTCCCGACCCCCGTTCCTGGGGCGGCCGGTGTGTGTGTGTGTGTGTGTGTGTGTGTGTGTGCGTGTGTGTGTTTGTGCGTTTGTGTGTTTGTGCGTGTGCGCGTGCGTCGCTCAAGGTGGCTTCCAAGATGGTCCAAGAGGGCCCGAGACCGCCCAAGGACGGCTCCAAGTGGCCAAAGGGCTCTCCATGGAGCCATATATATATATATATATATATATATATATATATACACATACACATATGTATATACATATATATATATATATATATATACCCTGGCGAAGAACCCAACCGTATGCAGTGAAGGGTGCCGCGTGGTGGGTACCGCCTTCGGTGGAGCTCCCTATGCTGCCGCGACCCGTGTGAGGAGCGTGCCGGCATGGGGCGGGGCCGCCATGCGAACCCTGCCACTGGGGACTTCGGTGGAACTCCCTCTGAAGCCACGAACCTCGTGAGGGGTGTGCCGAAATGGCCCGAGGCCGCCACGCGAACCCTGCCACTGGGGCCTCCGGTGGAGCTCCCTATGGGGCCACGGTCCTCGTGAGGGGTGTGCCGAAATGGCACGAGGCCGCCATGCGAACCCTGCCGCTGGGGCCTTCGGTGGAGCTCCCTATGGGGCCACGGTCCTCGTGAGAAGTGTGCCGAAATGGCCCGAGGCCGCCATGCGAACCCTGCCGCTGGGGCCTTCGGTGGAGCTCCCTATGGGGCCACGGTCCTCGTGAGGGGTGTGCCGAAATGGCCCGAGGCCGCCATGCGAACCCTGCCGCTGGGGCCTTCGGTGGAGCTCCCTATGGGGCCGCGATCCTCGTGAGGGGTGTGCCGAAATGGCCCGGGGCCACCATGCGAACCCTGCCACTGGGGCCTTCGGTGGAGCTCCCTATGGGGCCACGATCCTCGTGAGGGGTGTGCCGAAATGGCCCGAGCGAACCCTGCCACTGGGGCCTTCGGTGGAGCTCCCTATGGGGCCACGATCCTCGTGAGGGGTGTGCCGAAATGGCTCGAGGCCGCCATGTGAACCCTGCCACTGGGGCCTTCGGTGGAGCTCCCTATGGGGCCACGGTCCTCGTGAGGGGTGTGCCGAAATGGCCCGAGGCCGCCATGCGAACCCTGCTACTGGGGCCTTCGGTGGAGCTCCCTCTGGGGACACGAAGCGTGTGAGGGGTGTGCCGAAATGGGTGATGATGATGATGACGATGGTGATGGTGGTGATGACGTCGATGATGACGATGATGATGATGACGATGATGACGATGATGATGATAAGAGGAGGATGGAGGGGGCAGCGGGAGGAGGAGGTGAACGCGGGCGCTGTCTCTTCAAAACGAAGACCCAACACCACAGGATGGTTGGGAACAAAACCCAACAGCAAATCGGCATGGCGCGCGTTCTCGCCATTTCGCTTCCGACGCCCCCCCGAGGCATCAAGATGGCTCCAAGATTGCCTGGATGGGGCTCAGGGCTCCAGCATGGCCCCAGGAGCGCCCGCCCACCGCCGCCCCACCCTCCCCATCGAGGGGCATCCGCAGCGAGGGCTTCAGCACAGTGCGCCACCGCCCCATCGCTCTCGCCCTCGGCCCTCGGACCCCCCCCCCAAAAAAAAAAAACAGCGATGCCCGGGGGAGACGGTGACATGCCGCCTGGAGCGGCTGCCATCGGCGGTGTTAGCGTCGCTAGCCGCACCCCAGCTGGTCAAAGGCCAGTTGTAGCTCCTCCAACTTCTCCCCCCTTCTCCTCCTCCTCCTCCCCCTCCCTCCTCCTCCTCCTCCTCCTCATCCTATTCGCCAGCCTTGTCCCTCCTCCCTCATCAGCTCGCCTGGGCGTCGTTTCTGGATGGGCTGGCGGGGGCGCGCGAAGCGTCGGGAATGTTGGTGGAGGGGCGCGGTGGCCGACGAGGAAGACTACGAGGAGGACTGCGAGGAGGACGACGGGGGGATGGAGAGGGCGACGAGGAGGATGTGGGCCGCTCGCTCCGTTTCCGACGAGGGAGAAGGCGAGGTCGGCGCGCCGCCTGCCCTTGTTCCGACGGCAACCTCGGCCCTCGGTCGAAGAATTACTCCTCGACGGGGTCGCGCAAGGTATGCTGATGCACAAAAAGCTCGAGGCCCTGAGGAAGTCGTACACCCCAACCTCCGATGGCCCTTCAGTCGTCGACGATCATCTCGCACGTGACCATCAGGCTGACCTTCACGCCGCGCCGAAGCGGCCGTTCAGATCCAACAAGGTCTGGGCCGTGCGAAGCCTGCGGCCCACGTCGGTCAGGAAGGCCTCGGGAGGCACGAGGCCCAGACCCTCAGAAGGCCCCGAGAGGGCGCACATGTGGCCCCGAGAGGTGGGGCGTCTTGGAGACCACGTTGCGCTCTCTCAGGCCCTCTAGGGGCCATGATGAGATGTCTTGGGCACTCCAGGGTATCTACCCTGGCTTAAGCCGCCTCGCTCGCTCCCGCCCGTCCTCCCAACGCACAAGTAGCACCTGTGCCAATGGTCCCCAGGGCCATGGAATCTCATGCAAGGGCCGAGGGCCCTGGAGTCTAAGAGCCCTAAGAGCCCTAAAAGCCCGACGCGCCCTGGGAACCCCGAGACTCTCAAGGGCCCTAAGTGCCATAAGAGACCTATAGGAACCCTGAGAGCCGTAAGTGCACAAAGAGCCCTGGGCGCCCAAAGAGTCCTTAGAGCCCCATGAGCTCTGCGAGCACCAAGAGCCCCGAGGGCACCGAATGATCATAAGGGGCCCCAATAGCCCGAAGAGTCGCAAGGCCCTCAGAGCCCGAAATGCCCCAAGAGCAATCCACAGAGCTCTATGATACAATTGAGTCATCGAGGCCCTAAGAGCTCCAAGAAGAGCCGCGCGAGCCATACGAGCCCTAAGAGCCCCCAGAGCCCCGCGCGCCCTCGGTGCCCCAAGGGCCATAAGAGCCCTGAGAACTCTGATAGCCCTGGGGGGCCCTAAGAGCCCCAAGGCTCCTAAGCGCCCTAGGAGCCCTAAGATCCCTGAGAGCCCTAATGGCAAACGGAACTCTAAGAGCCCGAAGAGGCCTCAGGGGCCCTGTGATCCGTCGGAGCCCGATGAGCCCTAGGAGCCCCATGAGCCCTACGGGCCCTAAGGGCCCTCAGATCCCGAAGAGCCCCAAGATGCCGAACGCGACCACGACCACGACGACGGCGACGACGAGAGCCCATAAGGAGGAAGAGGGGGGCGGAGGAGGAGGAGGGATGGGGGAGGATTGCCAAATGCGTTATAGGCTCAAAGGGGCTTTCAGTAGCCGCGGAGGCCTTGGCCTCGGCGGTCGTGCTCGCGTAGCGGATGGAGCTGCCGACGCCGTTCTGGGCCTTCTCGATGTCCTGCGACATGCGATGCGGCTTGGCCTGGAACGCGTTCATGTCATCCTTGATGCCCTGGCGGAACCCAGGGAACAAGCGATGGCCCACCACCCTGTTGATGGCCGTCAACGTCTCCGTCGCCTTTTTCCCGATGCAGTCGGCCAACTTGCCATTCGCCGCTGCCACCTTGCGGCTCTCGGCGGCGGCCTTCCTCTCCTGCTTGGCCCTCTCCTTCTCCTCCAGCGCCTTCTTGCGCTCCTTCTCCTTCCTCGCCCGTTCCTTCTTCGCTGCCTTCTTGTTCTGCTTATTCGCCTTCTTCGCCTTCTTATTTGTCCTGTTCTTCTCGTCGTCCGAGCTGCTGCTCGAGTCCGAGCTGGGGTCCGAGTCGTCGTCGCCCGAAGGCCCCTCATCAGGCTCCTCGTCGGCGTCAGCGACCGTCGTCTTCTTGATCTTCTTGGAGGGGTGCGAGGCCTCGGCGACGTGGAACCGCTCGGTGCCCCTGGCTCCACGACGGCCTCCAGACAGGATCGGGGCGCGGTACGTTGCGCCCAAGACCCTGCGCTGCCTCTTGTCCTTCTCCAGGCTGTTGGCGTCGATGAGCGTGGCATCGAAGCCGCGCGTGCCCCACGCGCCTAGGGGGGGGGCGGGGGGGAACTCCCCTCCCTCGGCGTAGTAGTCATCGTGATTCTCGTAGCTCCGCATGAGCTCCTTGACTTTGGCGACTGCCATCTTCCCGCTGGAGACGTCGCGCACGTCCTTGAAGAAGGCCTGCTGCGTCTCCTCGCCCAGGCGCATGAAGTCGCTGCTCGGGAACTCGCCGAACTCGCGGCTAAGCTGCGTGATGTGGACATTGCAACGGTCGCGCCTGCACTTCTGCTGCGACTTGCCCCTCAACCGAGCCCTGTCTGCAGTTACCTCTTCGTTGCACCACCCGCGTCGCAACCGAACGTCATGCATGAACGTGGGGCGCGTGATCACCGTCGGCTCTGGGCGCATCTGGGCGGGCGGCTGCGGCGGCA